CGGCCGGCCCCGGGGCCCGGCGCAACCGCCAGGACCGCACCTTCAAGCCCTGCCGCCTCACCCATCGTTAGGTTCACTCGGACCCTGACCCAGCCCATGTGCCTGCTTCGCCTGGCCCAGCTGTTTTCCACCTGTGTGGCCTTCTCGCTGGTGGCCAGCGTGAAGGCGTGGTCGGGGTTCACGGGTAGCTGGTGCATGTTCGCCTGGTGCTTCTGCTTCACCACGACCTTGTTCATCATCTTGGTGGAGTTTGGTGGGTTCCAGGCTCGCTTCCCACTGTCCTGGCGCAACTTCCCCATCACCTTAGCCTGCTACGCCTCCCTCTTCTGCCTCTCGGCCTCTATCATCTACCCCACGATCTACTTCAAGTTCATGTTCCAAAGCCGCTCAAGTGACCATGCCGTCGGCGCCACGGTCTTCTCCTGCACCGCCGGTGTGGCCTACGCCACCGAGGTGGCCTGGTCCCGGCCCCGGCCCGGCCAGGTCACCGTCTACATGGCCACGCTGCCAGGCCTGCTCAAGGTGGTGGAGACCTTCGTGGCCTGCGTCATCTTTGCCTTCATCAGCGACCCCTACCTGAACAAGGGGAGGCCGGCCCTGGTGTGGTGCGTGCTGGTATACGTCATCTGCTTCCTCCTGGCCTCCGTGGCCGTCGTGCTGAACCTCATCAACCGCACCAACATCCTGCCCATCCCCTTCCCCCGCTTCCTGTGGGGCCTGAACCTGCTCTCCATCCTCTGCTACGCCTCGGCCATGATCCTCTGGCCTCTCTACCAGTTTGACGAGAGGTACGGAGGCTATGCCGAGCGCTGGAAGGATCCCTACTGCAGGTTGGGCCTGAGCCGCTACATATGCCCCTGGGACAGTAGCCTGGCTGTGGCCATTTTGACGGGCATCAACCTGCTGACTTACGTGGCCGACTGGGTGTACTCCTCCCGCCTGGTTTTCCTCAGGTCCTCCTGAGGCTCTGTCCGGGAGCCCCGATTCCCTCTTCTTTCCACAGGTGTCTTTACCGAGTCGTGCTCTCCTCTGATGTCCTCTTCCTGGGTCCCCTCTCCTCCTCGTTCCGCTCACTCTCTCCCTTTTCTTTCACCTGGTGTCCCTGTCCCAAGCTCTGTGCCCTTCCCTCCCTGGGCTCTTTGCTGTCACCCTGTTTTGCCTGTGTCTTCCCCCCTTGCCTACCTAGTCTGTTGTTTGGTCCTTTTCTGGCCGTCCGCCCTGTTTGTTTTCTCACCTGCCTTGTTTTCTGACAACTTCTTCCCACCTTCCTTCCGATTTCTTTGGGAGCACGGAGACTTCTTTGTTCACCCCCCACCCCCACTGCCACCCCCAACTCCAAAGGTGCTGAGCTCCACGTCCCACACCCTTCGTAGCAGCTGTTCAGACCCTGGGCCTCCTGAAGGGCCTCATTGCCAAAGCATGTGCCCACCCTGGCTGTGCCTTAGTAGGTGTGTGTGTGTGTGTGTGTGTGTGTGTGTTTTGGGGGTGGAGGGTGGGAGTAGTTAGGGACTGGGCCCCCTTTCTCACAGTGGAGGGGGGTATACAGTGCACCGCCCCTTTAAGTTAATAATAATAAAAAAAAATCCCTAGAGGTCAATCATTTCCAGTGGGCTGGAGGCTTAAATCACAGACCCTGGGGGTCCTTAGGCCCCTCCTGGCACCCAGCCTCGCCAGAATTTTTGCCACGCTTACTNTGGGGGTAGCTAGGGACTAGGCCCCCTTTCTCTCAGTGGAGGGGGTGTATAGTGCACCTCCCCTTTAAGTTAAAAAAAAATCCCTAGAGGTCAATCATTTCCAATGGGCTGGAGGCATTAATCACAGACCCTGGGTCCTTAGGCACCGCCTGGCACCCAGCCTCACCAGAATTTTTGCCAGGCTTACTAAAACCCCTTGACTAGAGGCTGTCTTAAAGTAAGCAAACGGTGATGGCTGCCTTCCATCCTAGATACTACTCTCTGGGTATCAAGATGTGTGCAGTATCTGTGAGGAGCAGGGGTGTGGGGCCAGGCCTCAGTACTGAAAGAGCAGGTACTGCCTTGGCTGGGAAGAGAAGGAAATGGCCTTTCCAGTGATGTTAGCTGCGTTTTTTTCTTCTTGTCACAGGGCAAACATGACTGGGTGGTCCTATTCTTAAAAGAGAAGTTTCTTTCCTATATATATATTTTTTTAATCTGTGGGTGGGTTGGGTAGGTGGGGATCGCTCTCCCCGTAGTCAGAGGAATCTCACCGCTTGCGTGTGTGATACCCACACCCATGTTTCTGTGTGCTAGCTGCTGCTTCCTGCTTCTCTGGGACTCGCACACATGACATGATATATATATAAATGTATAAATATATATTTTATTTTTTTAATTCCCTGGAGCTTCTGGTTCCCATCAGCCCCTGCTGTCATTTATAGAGGGAAGCCCACGTCCATAATGTTCTTTATTTTTATTTTTTACCCCAATATAAAGATAAAAGGAAGAAAAAAAATAAATAATGTGTTGCTTAGTATGTGATTAGTTCTTTTCTTAATAATAGACACAGATTTTTTTCAATTAATTCATTGCTTCCCCAAAATTAACATATTGAGTTTTCTCACATTCTTAACCTCTCAAATCTTCATATCCTTTCACAGGAATTTAAGATCATGTTCCATAATCAGAATTATGGTAGTTTGTTTGTTTTTTACACATCTTTTCTAATGCTTGGATCAGTTTATTTGATCATCACATAAAACAAGCATGAAAGTTCCACCTAAGTTTTTGAAAACACTAAATAGTGTAATTTTGAAACCATAACCTTAAATTTTCCAGCACTAAAATTTTCCATACATGAAGTCAGGTCTTTTGTGTCCCAGCTGCATTCTTCCTTCACCACCACCATCAAGGAACAGGAGGAATCCAGGCTCACCACTGAGGTTGAAGAGCAAGCAACTGACCAACTTTCTAAGGATGATTTCTCAAACTACAATAACATGGGGTTCTTAGAATATTTTGGAGAATAGAGGGGAAACACAGCATTTCACTGATTCTCCCGATAAAGCAGACTATGTTAAATTGTCCAGGATCCAAGTAATAATAGATCCTTTGGAAACAGGAATAGATCCTGGTTTTGGCTAACTCTGAAAGCATTTTTTTCATGGAAACACTGTTCTATTTAGTATTAGGGTCTACTGTTACATTTTCCTGGTTCATGAGCTGCCTGTGACATGGGATTGTAACATGAATCAAGGAGACCAAGTATGCTCATAATCAGAAAGAAATTATTCATCAATCCTCATCCTTTTTACCTAGCTTTACTTTCTTTTTTTTCAATAGCACTCCTCTAATGTTGGGGTAAAAAAGTTTTCCTTCTACCTTTCTAGGTTTGTTGGCTGGTTTAATAATTAAGTTGACATAAAATAGACTAACAGGAGGAAAATAAATTTAATTTCATGAGTATGGGAGCTCCATAAAAATATGAGACCCCAAAGGCAGTTAGGTAATTGAGGCTTATATGCTGTCCTGAGCTAAGGAATGGGATAGGAGCTATGGAGGACAAGTCTCAGAAGAGCAGATGTTTGGTAATCAAATGTTTGCCCTGCCATGCAGATAAGCCTTTGAGATAAACTGTTATCTCTCAGGCTATGTACTTGAAACATATACCGTGGTACCTCGGTTTTGGAATGTCTCTGTTAAGGAACATTTCTGTTTATGAACGCCATAAACCGGGAAGTAAATGCTTTGGTTTTCCAACACGCCTTGTAAGTCAAACACGCCACATGACTCCCACTGAGCGCAAGATCCTGAGGCCTAGCTGTGGGCTGTTGATCCTTTGGTTTTCAAACGTTTCAGAACTTGAATAGTCTTCTGGAACGGATTACATTAGAAAACCAAGGTACCACTATAATCTTATTAACCAATGCCACCCAATAAACTTAATTTTTAAAAAAGAAAGAAGAGTTCACTCTGGTAATACCTCTCTTTTTGGTCCAGGCCCCCCAACTAAATTATTTTAGGTAGTTAGGGAGAGGTAAAAGTTTTTCTTAACTCTGCTCGGTCTTAATTGCATTCAGCTCAAAACAATTCATATGCCCAACTGGCACAATTTGGGGTGGCATATTCTGCTCTTTCACTAACATGCTGATGTTTGTCCTCTGTCTCCACATTCTTTCTGCTCCCCAGCTCCTTGAGGGTAGAGATCTTTGTTGTACACTGATGGATCCAACTTCTTGGAATAGTGCCTGGCACATAACAGGAGCTCACTTAGATATTTGTTGAGTGAATGAGTACATTCACTCAACTGCTCAGTGAGGAGTTTATAAACTCCAGAGAAGCAGGAAGCACAGCTATCTTGTTCTAGGATTTATGCTCAGAGCCTAGGTTACCACTTATACATCGGAGGAGCACTTAACGATTGGGTGAATTAAAATGGTAGCTAGAGTTAAATAAAGTTGGTCTGCTAATGCTTGGTGCCAGGAGGAAGCCTGGCTGACAGGTGGAAAATGCGAATCCAAAGGTTATTTATAACATTATTGGTGTGAGAAAATGCTTTCTGAGCTATAATTTGCATATATATTTGTTGGCAATGCAGGTCGAGCCAAATCAGAAGTTGAACAACAATCTCTCGCTCAGACATACAACCAACGATAGCAGGACCCCATGTTAAGCTAACCACATCTGGGCCAGGTGTAGAGGCTAATGGCTGCCTCACGTCTCATCGTCGCCTTTTTCTTCTACTACAGCCTTGCACAGGGTCTGATTCGACTGTAATTCTAGGCTGGCAAGACCTAGGGACAGTTACAATATCCCCAAACTCAATTTCCTCATCAGGAAAAAAAAGGAATTTTATTAAAGCTTTTGAGAGGCGCAAAGCATGTAAAGCGTTTCACAGGGTCTCCGAAATAACTGTTAGCAATTACAATTAATGACTTTTCCTGTTTCTCCATTCTTTGCTTCCTTCTGCTAATTTTAGTTTAACCTTAATAGGGGAAGCCCCTCCCCCAACACTCTTTCTGGGCATGCGCAGCAACATAACAGCCTCACCCTTTCCTAATCTAATCATTGATGGGGAGTGACTAGACTCCCCCTGGATCCACTGTGACCTGATCAGGTGGCTAAGTAGGTAAAGCACATCATATAACAGGTTAAAAAGGCTTCAAAACTCTGCGCTCTTCAGCGGAGGAAGCACACCAGCTCGCGACTCCGAGGACCCAAGGACTCACAATCCCGCCCCGGGGTCTGCGCTGGAAGCGAGCCCAGCCACCCGTAGCTACTTGGGGAGGGAGGGACCGCCTGGCGGACTTTTCATTGGCCCAGAGTCACAGAGGAAGGCAGATTCTCCCCCTTCCGGTTGCTGATGGTTGAGGCCGGAAGCAACGCCTACCGTCATTGGCTGAGCCCAGCTGTCAGTCCTCTCGCGTCTGGCGGCGCGACACAGCCTGGCGCGGCCTGTGGAGCAGTCGCGAAGCCTGCTGCAGGGAGAAGATGGCGGTCGCAGTGAGAACTTTGCAGGAGCAGCTAGAAAAGGCCAAAGAGAGCCTAAAGAACGTGGATGAGAATATTCGCAAGCTCACCGGGCGGGATCCGAATGATGTGAGGTAAGGGCCGGATGAGAAATGCCGGCTCCTAGAGGCAGCTATCAAGCCGGGGTGAATTGGGGGCGGGGAGGGCGGCCAGCTATGAGAAGGCTGTTACATCGAGGCCTGTTCCCGGGGCGGCGATCGAACCCGGTCTTCGGTGAGGCGAGGAGTCTCCAAGGCTCCCGCCATAGGTCCCCGAGCTCAGGTGCGTGAGGAGGGAGAGCTGGGCCTGGGTGCACCGGATGGCCTTCGGGCCTGTGGGAAGGCCGGGACTGCCGATTCCCGCCCTTGGCTCTGCAGGCCCGGAACTGCAGCACAAAGCCCCTGCCCTCTCCGACGACCACCCGGCCCAGGCTGTCCCCGAGACCCTCCCGGGTCACGGTTCGCCGCCTAGCTCCCAGGCTCTTGTCCACGTGCCGCTTCCTTGGCGTCGGCGAAATTAGGAACTGATCCAAGTTTGTTAATGTGTAGTAGCGTCGTGGTCAATATGATTTGTGTGGTGTTGGTCTTGAGAAAATACGGAAGTTAAATAAGATAGTGCTTCCT